TTTTTTGTCTTTCTTCAAATAATCAAAGCGACCAGGAGAATATTAAAACTTCTTTTTCAGCTTTGAATCGAGTAGAGAAAAAAACCGTATGCTTTCATTCACACTGTTTCTTTTCACATTTGTGTTTGAATCAATGCCTCCTATGAATAGAGCGCAGAAATAAAATTGTGTTTTTGGTTTGTGTTTAGTATATTAGCGGCGTTGCCCTATAATAGTCTATGGTGTCACTTTTTCGTTATATGATAGTTACTTTACCAAATAAAGCAACATGCTTATGTCACTTCGTGGTAGTCAAGAAGTAACGAACACACTAGTCATTGTTTTAAAAAATGAATATACCATTTTACTTCTAATCATTAAAAAATTTCATTTTTTACTCGTCTGAACTAACAATTATGGATCGAACATTCACGCTTGAGGGTGTGGGTGTGGGTGTGGGTGTGGGTATGGGTATGGGTGTGGGTGTGGGTGTGGATGTGGGTGTGGGTGTGGGAATCGGTGTGAGTAAGTCTCATGAAGGCATACAACAACACCCATACTCACACCCACTCCTGGTTATCATCATGTTCTATTGGTAAGCATATCTACATTATTTGATTAGATTTGAAGAAGTGGTGCATCACTTAATAGATCTTATAGTGATTTGATTGTACTAAGTCATTTATTTTAAGATTTTCGACGAGATTCAATACCTATGTAATGTTGATATTGAGTCAAATTTAGAAAATGCTTTGCCAAAATTACTTGGTATAATACCTGAAAATTCAGGTTTTGTAAATGGCAAGTATCTAATTAGATTACGGAATGTTTTCACATGTTTCATATTTCTTCATGACTGTTTAGATCTTCCAGCAGTACGATTAATTAAACTGTTAAGTAAACATTTTCAAGATTCATGGCAATATTTATTACGAAATAAAGCAAGTGCTAAATTTTTATTAAAAACTCAGTTAATCTACAAGGCAAAATTTTAATCTTATACAATGCATTTAACAATAAGTTTATGTCTGCATAAATATATCTTTTTTTCATCATACAGCAACCAGAGTGTCCTCGTCCAACTATACAAGTAACATCAGATGACTTTAATATATATTTGGATTTTAATATGATCACTCAAACAAAATCGATAAATCAAGCATTAAGCATTGTTATTTCATTATATATTATATTCGAATTACAATTTGGTACGTACAACCGAGTTATTCATTTATTGTATGGAATATTGCTGCAAGAGCCAAGCATTCTTTCGAAACAATTACGACTTACATTAAAACAATGGAATTTTCACATTGATAAAAAAGAACATACAAGAAGTATGCAACCTGTTACAACTGCTTCAACAAATAATAATACACAAACAAGCACAATAAACGTTTTAAAAGAAACTGAAGGTAGTCATGGCCATCAATCATTTGATAATAATTACCAAGAGGATTTTATCGGAAACACAGGTGCGTAATGTGTGATGGATAAGAAATATCTTTAATCATGCATACTTATATTTCATAGATGATACACAAAATCCAATAACAATCAGTATACATTCAACTTCCTACAAGAACATGGAAAAATGTACAACACAAACATCACCATCATCCAATTCATCATCACCTATTTATCCAACATTAATTGTAGATATTGCAATACTAGAGAAGCAAAAATAATCATTCTTATCTGAATCAATTATGATTAAAAATGATGAATGCATGTTGAACATTATTGAGTCAAACTCATCGAAATCGAGTCATTTATCTACAACGAATAAGAAAAAATCTAGTTCTAAGTTAAGAAAACGTCAAGCTAGTCCAGAAAAACCAATAGCACAACGATTAAAACGATCAAGAAATTAAAAAAAGACAATATGAACATTCTGTATTCTCAGTGATTATTTATAATATCTGCAAGATTTTTCTAACTGATCGAATATACAGGGTATCCCAAAAGTCGTGATCACTTCAGAAATTAAGATATGTCCATTGTTAATTGGAGCTAAACCAAATTTTTTTTTATTTGATGATGGAGAATAGTAAGTTTTTTTTTTCATACGCATAAAGTTCATAAATACTCTTGAAAGTGTCTTGTTTCTTGTGGTGAAAGAAAAAGTTAGCATGTTCATGATATAAGAGACCAATAGATAGTATTTTTCATGTATTTGTTCCTGTTTTCATCGTGATTATCAACTTTAAGTAATTATAATTTCTTGCGAATCCGTTATTAAGATTCGTTCTGATATATATACTTATAGAAAGAATGTAACGATGCCAGACGTAGTGACAATAAAAGTTAAAAAACCGTTCTGTATCCTCATTTCGCTAGGTACCAAAGTTTTGATTGTTTCACCAGCAAACGACTCTACACGACGTATCAGCCAGGCATTCTTGCCAATAAGCGTCCAACAAAATGGCTCTGTAGCATTTATAAGAGGTTGTTTCCACTTAAACTCGATGATTACGATGAAAACATGGATACATGCTTAAAAAATACTATCTATTGCTCTCCTATATTATAAAAATGCTAACTTTTTTCTTTCACCACAAGAAGTAATACACTCTCAAGAGTATTTACGAACTTCATTCGTATGAAAAAACAACTTACTATTCTCCAATATCAAATAAAAAAATATATTGATTTGGCTTCGATTAATAATGAAAATACTTTAACTGCTTAAGTGATCACGACTTTTCGAACACCCTATATATATACTTATACATATCAAGCTGAGCTGCGTTCAATTAGAAGCTGTTTTAATAAAGCATTTTCTAATATTTTTATTAATAAATTGAACTATTTTATTTTTATCACTATCACTATTTCTTGCTTTCCTGTTTAAAAAAAAGTTATATATTACAACATTTTACGACACAATCAATTTAGATCATTCCCCAAAACAAACCCAATTATACAAAATCATACAAAAATTTTTCTTTCTAACTATGAAAAATAAGTCCAGTACGAAGAAACCGAAGAAATTCAAAAACACGACAATCATAATATAATTGTGATGTTAATACTTATACGCATTTTGAGGTAATCAAGTCTTTTCATTAGTTCTCCCTTACAGAAATAAACGATCTCTAACACTAATAATCAGACTCAGTTCATCAAATCTTCATGTTCACTTATCAATCTTCAAAAATTGACCATGTCAAATGACAAACAAACAATATTGCTACTATCATGCTTCGCTTCCTCCTAACTATAATATAGCATATCAGAGCAACCATCTAAATACTCAAAAAGTTCATGTTCAAATTGTTTGAAACAAAACGCTGCAACCTAGTAAATAAATAAAACATATCGTTCCACTCATCTTTCAGTTATAAAACATTCATACAAAAACATTTAACAACTGAACTATACACTTTTTCTTCTTTTTCTTTTTCATATTCTCAATCAACAATTTACCAATATAGTTCAATTTTCAAAATTATACCTATTTGATATAGTGTAAGTTTCCTCACAAAGGTCCATCAAATGCAAGATTTATTTCAATGCAAATGTGAAACTGAAACTTTTTCCTTGCAGATTCTTCAACCGAACACTGTCAGGTAGTCTAATCTTTAAAAATATCATTTTCATTTTTTTCTATTGTAGGCTGTTCACACGAAATATTTATATCAACGTAAATTTAGTATAAGTATCATTGGTTTCTTTCACATTGTCCAACTGAACCATTTGTAAGGTAACTTTATCTTGAAAATTATCATTTCTATTTTTCATTTGTAGATTAGGCAATTGCAATATTTACCTGAAGTTAGACTTGATTTTAGAATGTTTTTTCTTCTTTCAAATTGTTCAATTGAACAAAACATAAGGTAGTTTTATCTTCAAAAATTATGTTTTTATTTTTCTGTTGTAGATTACTCACTTGCAATCTTTATTTTAGCTTGAATTTAACATAAAAAATGTTTTTTTTCGTTCACGTTTTTCAAGTGAACAATAAATGAAGTAATTATATCCTTAAAATTATCAATTGTATTTTTCTGTTGTAGATTATGAAATTGAAATATTTATTTCAAGTAAAATTTAACATATAAAATGGTTTTTTTCTGTAGTACTGTCCAACTAAACAATGTGGAAGGTAACTTTATCTTTAAAATCATGTTTTTCTTTTTTCTGTTGTAGATTATTTAGTTAAAATATTTCCTTCAAGTTACATCTCATATTAGAATGTTTTTTCCTTTCAAATTGTTCAGCTGAATAAAATATAAGGTAATTTATCTTGAAAAATTATATTTTTGTTTTTTCTGTTGCAGATTATACAATTGCAATATTTATCTGAAGCGAAATTTAGCATTAAAAATGTCTCTTTGTTGAGGTGGTTCCAGTGAACAATATATCAGGCGCTTATATGCTTAAAATTATCATTTCTCTTTTTGTGTTGTAGATTGCTGAAGTCAAATATTTATTTGAACTTAAATTTAACACTAAGAATTTTTTTTTCTTCCGTATTGTCCAACTCAACAATGTGGAAGGTAATTTTACCTTTAAAATTATGTTTTTTTTTTTATTTTTCTGTAGTAGATCATACAATTGCAATATTTACCTGAAGCTAGATTCGATTTTAGAATGTTTTTTTTTTCTTTCAAATTGTTCAACTGAACAAAATATAAGGTAATTTTAGCTTCAAAAATTATGTTTTTGTTTTTTCTTTTGTAGGTTATTTAGCTGTAATATTTCTTTTCAAATCAAGTTTAACATTAAAAATGTCGTTTTTTTTAGGTGATTGCAGTGAACAATATATGAAGTACCTATATCGTTAAAATTATCGTTTCTATTTTTCTATTGTAGATTATAAAATTGAAATATCTATCTCAAGTTAAATTTAGTATTAAAATGTTTTTTTTTTCTTTCACATTGTTCAATTGAACAAAATATAAGGTAATTTTATCTTCAAAAATTATATTTTTGTTTTTTCTTTGTAGATTATTCAGTTGAAATATTTATTTTAAGTTAAAGTTAACATTAAAAGTGTTTTTTTCGTTCACTTTTTCAAGTGATCAATAAATAAGGTAATTATATCCTTAAAATTATTAATTGTATTTTTCTGTTGTAGATTATGAAATTAAAATATTTATCGCAAGTTAAATTTAACATAAAATTTTTTTTTTCGCTCAAATTGTTCAAGTGAATCATATTTCAGGTAATTTTACTGTTAAAATTATGCTTCTCTTTTCTCTGTTGTAGATTATTACAATGAAATATTTATTTCAGATTATATTTAATATAAAAATGGTTCTTTCTTTCAGATTCTCCAACTGAACAATGTCGAAGGTAATTTTATTTTTAAAATTATGGTTTTCCTTTTTCTGTTGTAGACTATCCAAGCGAAATATTTATATCAGTGTGGATGTCGTAATTAGCTTTTGCTTTACTTTGGATTCTCCAAGTCAACAATCTGGTTATAGCATAGTTTTATTAATAATTGGGAAGTGCAATTGATTTGTTGAAATATTGGGTATTTATGGATTTGTGTGAAGTTGATGAAGCCAGTTTCTTCGGCTTGAGATACTTCAGTTTGGTTTTGAGTTTCTTAGTTGGTTCTGTGGAATCCCAATCTCTGCAGCTGGGGCCAGGCAGCTGGAAAAAACACGCTTGATTTGTACCCAATGCTGTTTTGAGAGAATCCAGCTAAGTTGAGGTCAATATCGGATACTGTGGAAGGGCTTGTGACGAGTCTCATGCAACTATTGTGTTATAACTTTAGAAACCAGTTTCTATTAAATTTGTGCTATGAAACCTCGTCTTCGAAACCTTTTTTGTGGTTTGTTGAAATTAGTTTCGTACCGAACCAGTTTTGTACGAAACTTAAAAAGGTTTAGAATTCGTTTCAAAATTCGAAACCTTTTTAAGTTCGGTACGGTACCTTTTTTTTTCAGTGTAGAGAACTATATAAATTACAGTTAGTTAATAGCCAAACTAAAGATATAAGTTTTATTAAAATTGTCCTCAGTAAATTTTTAACAATTTAAAGAGCGAAAATTTCAAACTTTCCATTCGTTTATTAAAAGCTATTTATTTAAAAAAAGGAGATTTCAAAAATTGATAGTATACTTCACGCTTATACATAGTGATGATTAATACATGCACAAGGTTAGGTATTTAGTGTGTTACAAGCAATATTCACTCAAGGTCACTTTTCTATTTTTTTCTCTCTCACAAGGTCAGAATATTACTAATATCTTCTCACCACCTGTCAAAGCAAAAA